TTCCATCTCATCTCGACATAGCACTGGGCCCCCCTGGGGCACCAAGGTCGACATGGCCTTCGCTAGGTCATAGCCATTCCTTTGCAGTGTGTCCATCGCATGAAACTACAGGGAAGGTAGGAAACAACGTTCATGACCAGGATCCCTCAGCATGCTCTCCTTCTGCTCTTCAAATGAGCCCATTCCCTCAGAGACACCCCCCTCCTGTCCCCAGGCTCTGCAGCGCCCCCCAAGGCCCAGCCTGCCTGACCACCCACCAACTCCTGCTCACCAGGGTGATATCTCGGGAGGCAGCGGCTGCACTCATGTGCAGACTTGGCTGCCGAATGGAGCTGCTACAGTCTAGGGCTCTCGCGAAGGTCCCCACCGCTCTGAGAGAGAAATGGAGAAGTCAGGAGAGAAAGAAGAAAGCGCAAGTGGGCTGAGGTGCTAAGCCAGATGAGTTGTTTTTGGAACATGCCAGACACATAATAATGTCCATCTCTAAGAATGGGACTCAGAACTATGTCTACACCTCCCTCAGCCCATCTTCCCCATCCACCCACCCCTCACCGGGCCACCACGAGAAACTGGTCAATCTGCCGGTCTGTGAGAGGATTGTCTGGGTCCCAGACCTTCATCTCCATCTTCTGTTGGTTCCGGTTATCAGATTCTCCTGGGGAACGGGCAATGGCGTCATCAGGGAAAGGGAAGGGGGAAGGATCGGTGTGTCGAGGCTCACAACGGCACCTTGCTCCTCCTCGTCTCCTGACTGGAGTCTGTCGGCCACCTCCACTCTCAGACTGCTCTTCCCAACTGTGCCCACGTGCCCCTCCCAGGTTGCTGAGGTCACTTTCTGTCAGGGTCAGGGCACACTGCCATGCAAACTGCACTGTACAACTCCAAGGCATGTGATTCACAGGGACTACGATGAGAGATAACCCAGTAGCTACACAGTCTGTCCTGCTGCTTACCCTCTGCCAGGCGATCTGGGATTTCAGCTTGGTATTTGCAACCAACTCGGATCTCGCCCTGATCAGCTAGAAGTGTCTTCTGCACAGGGTCAAACACCAGTGAGTAAAAAAAGCAGTCCTAGAGACAGGGAGAGAGAAGATGAGCAGGGAAGTAGCCTTCATAGGCGGGGGCAATGTACCTAGAGTTCCCAAGATAGGTAGCCCCTCAGCCTGTACCTCATCAACCTGTTCCTCTTGCCTCCTGGGGTAATACCCACTCCCCTCCCTCTTCTCCCAACACCGCTCTCTCACCTCCTTTTCCAGGTACTGGCTCAAGATATCAGTCTCGTTCAAGAGGGTCACACTGCATTTTCCTCTATGGGAGAGAGGTCAGAAGACTCTGGGTGAGATCCCCATTCCCCCTCCACAGCACCCCCATATACCAACGCCCCTCCCCCCCATCTTCTAAGGAAGTGCACACAGTGGTCCTGACCGTCCCATACCGTATGTGGGTGGCCGGCAACGACTCAAACTGCCGAGAAAGGAAAAGCTCCCGGTGCTTCAGTTGATGTCGCTGCTGCTCCGACACCCCAGGCTGCTTTGATTCCTCCTCAAACTCCCCTGGGAGATTAAGGAGGGAGAAGCCAAGTCAGAAACCAATACAGAGAGAAGCCATTTGGACAGTCTAGCCCGAGGAAAACATTTACTGTCTCAACTGTTTTTCGCACACTCCTCAGGCATCTGCCTTCCACACCCTCACCCCACCAGCTTTCTCGCTTAGCCCTCTCCCCCATCAGCGATGTTCCTAATTCTCCATCGCTAATGCTCTTAGGAAAGAGCTGAGAGGGCAAAGGTTGCCACAGAAATACATCCCATAGCCAGGTGCCAATACTCAGACACCATTTGCAAAGCCCGAATGTGTGCACAGGCCCAGCGAGAATATCACACTTGCCTATTTCTTGCTAAACCAGCCTGAGGTCCAGAAACTGAGTAAGATGAAAAAGCATCGCACAAGTGTTATGTTTAACACTTCCTCTTTTCAGATGTCAGGAGATTCTTTGCTCTTAAACATCACAGGCAATCCTAACTGTCCCTCACTTTCTACTTACAGTAACTAAGTTTGTTCGTGGGGCTTTTAAGGATGCAGTGTCAACACCTTCCTCCCCAAGAAGCTGTAACTTGCCCTGAAACCTTGGTGTAAAGGGTTAACCTGGCTGGGCGCCAACCAAAGTGGGAGGGGGCAGAAGAGCCACAGGCCCAGGCTCATTGGTGCATTGTTCCCAACCCCGGGGAGAAGGGGGAGTGCAACAGGCTCCACCCCTCGCCTGTGTGCTCCGGAAACCCTGTGCAAAGGGAAGGGGGACCACACCCCCCACACCCCTTCTGATTGGACAAGGCCAAGGTCAGCCCCTGCCAGATGGGGCTGGAAACCCCAGAGGGCCAGAGAACTTGTTAGGCCCAGCTCCTCCGTAACCCCTTCATGCCCAAAGCAGTTTGAAATAAGGAGAATAATTTAGGAAGGAGGAACAAGAGGAGGGGAAAGAAAGCCAAAGTAGGAAAAGAAAAAGAAACTAAAGGAAACTGAAGGAGATATATTTTTTGAAAGATGAAAGCATAAAAAGAACGAAGATAGGGCAATAGGAAAAGATGTAAAATGGAGTGGAGGAGAAAATGGGAGAGGCGAGAAACAGGAAAAAGTGCAAGAAAACTTTCCTCGCTTCCTATTCTGTCCTTTCAATGTATTCCCACTTCGTGATCACAAAATAAGCCCACTTCCCTATTACGCAGGCTTCTGGTACAATCTCTTCCTCTTTACCTTGCCTTCTGTCACCAGCCAGTGTCCCAACATACCCAAAACTGTCCCCCAAGGGCCCTGCTTCTCTAAAGCTCCTCCTCATCCCCCATTTAAATGCTATCATCTCTTTGACCTACATCATTCACATGCACCCACTCACACACAAGCCACATTCTGGCTCTCTTCATCATGGTCTCGCCACCCTGCTTCCAACCCCAACGTGTAAAAACAGGCTTCCCTCCACAGACCAGGCATTTCCCACCCCCAAATTCACACCCCTGCCTTGGGCATGCTACCAGGGGAAACACCTGCAGGGACATGCCCAGGCCTTAGACCAAGGGGAGGAGGGGGAAGAGGGCCCCAGGTGGTAGGGTGAGGGTACAGAGTCACTCACTGGCGTTACTATCAGCCAGGCTGTTGAGGCTACTAGAAATGTCCCTTCGCCGGAAAAGGCACACAACCTTTGCCTCCACATTTCCATTTGCCGTCTAAGAGGGAGGAAAAAGGGGCAGTGAAAATTGGTCACTGGAAAGTAGAAATGCACAGAGACTAACAACAGCCAGTAAGTTTCTAAGGGATGTAGAAAAACCCAAGAAATTATGAGTATGAGATACATTTAAGGACAGACTTCCAAATCCTTTTTTTAAGCCCCCAAAAGATAGTATAGTCAAGTTCCCACTAAGCTCTTAATAGCCCTTCCTGAATACAATGAAAGAATGAATGAATGAATGAATATGAACGGGTACTGAGGATAGGGTCCTCTCGTTCTTCCTGCTCAAGTTAGAGACCTCAAAAGGAGACCGCTTTGGGGAAGGGGAGTGGGGGAACTCTGCTCCACTCACCTTGTTGAGCTCCTCAATCCGTCTAACCAGGTAAGGATTGCTGGAGGAGTTCTCAAAATAGACGTAATCTGTAGGAGGGGGTGGGGAGGAACCGGGAAGATCAGAGGAGTACCAAGGTAGGAGGAGCGGGAGAAGGCCTGGCTGGGCCAAAAAGAGATAAGGATCCAGGTAGACAGGACGCTGAGAAGTGGAAGCAAGCAGACTAATAGAAAATAAGGGATGCCTCCCCCCCCAATTCCTGACCACCTAGTTCTAAAATTACATATTCCACTCAAAAGTGAGCCTTAAGGAAGACAGAAGCAGCAGGGGGTTCACTTGCACTCCCAACTCAGCGATGGAGTTCCACCCGTCTCAGCTCAGCGAAGCTAGCAATTGTTCACCCTAGCGCAGGGCCCCCACCTTTGCGAACCGCGGCGTACGATACCGCCTGGGGACAGGAAACCTCCCGGCGGCTCCCGGGCGAGGGGCAAAGCGGTCGCCCCGGGCCCTTCGCGCCCCGTGCCTGCTTGTCAGTTCCTTCGGAACCACTTTCCCAAGCCTCGCTCCCCGACGCGGGGACCTCCGACGCAGCCCTGAGAGTGCCGTCGGGGCTGTCTCCTGCCTCTCAGAGAGCCTGGTCGTCGGGACGCGTCGCCGTCCCCGCACCCTCGCTCCCGAGCTCCGGGTTCCGGTTCCGGTCCGCGCTCGGGACCACGCCGCCGGGGGCTGAGCCTCTCCGGTCCCGGCCCCCAACCTCTCCCTTTCGGGGCCCCGCAGCCCCTGCACCCGGTACTCACCCCCCACCCGGTACATGTTGGCCGCCATGGTCGTTCCCGCCGCCGCCTCCGGCCGCACAAAGGGGTCCGGGAGACTCGGGGACGGGGGGAGGGTTCGGCTCGAGGCGAAGCCCGGAGCGCGGGGCTGGCGCTTCGCTTAAGTCTCGGTCGGGCCCGCGCAGCCGGCGCCTCCACCGCCTCAGCCGTCACAGTTCATCCCGGCCCGCGCTGTCGTCGCCGCCGCCGCCGCTACCGCCTCACGCCTGGGACGCCGAGGCCGGCACCGGTCTGCTCGGCTTCTTCCGGACGAGCTCGGCTACCACCGGCCCGGAGCCAGCCTCTGAGTCCCCGACCCTCGCGGATCCCCACCAGACGTTGCGCTCTGCCGGCCGCGGGGAAGCCTAGCCCTGCCGGCCTCGGGGCTCGCCTCCTTCCGGAACACCTTCGGCGGACGCGGAGAACAAGGCCCGGCGCTCGGCTCAGGTCGGAGAGCGAGACCCCGCAGATCGGCCACTTCCGGAAGCAGTTCGGCTCCCTCCGGCCAACCGCGGCCCGGCGCTCGGTTATTTCCGTTGCAGCTCTGCCCCTCCTCCGAGGGCGGGAGACGAATTGGGCTTAACTCCCTCCTCGCCGCGCCTGCGGCTCCGCCTCCGGCCACGAAAGACGCGCGCGCCAGTGCGCCTCGCGGGGTTATTTGCCTGTCATTTGCATGAATGGCCTGTTCTCCCTAACCCTTTCCGCGCTCCTCTTCTGCTTCATCCCCACCCCCACAAGGCCCCCGAGGCGCCCAGCCGAGCCCCACAAAAGGACTGGGAGGCGACTTTTCTTTTGGTTTATTGCCCCTCAGCAGGCAGCGGGAGTCAGGGCCCAGGCTGGGGCTGCCGGGCTCAGCCAGCGGATCTAAACAGTGTGTGCAGGGGTGCCGTTCGCCCCCTCCAGGGAAATGCGCAATCGGGAATGTCTCCAAGTCAAGGAAAAGTTGGCCCCTGGTCCTGAGGGGTGGGGTGGGGCGGGGCCATCCTGCAGGGCCGGTGTGATCCGTCCCGCAGCGGTCAGACGTCAAGAGAGGAGGCTGGGGACAGAGAGGGGGTTCGAGAGGGCGTGGCAGGCGCCAGCCCCGAGCCCCCAGCGCCCAGCACTCGCCACTGGAAGATGCTGGCGTCCTTGCCGCCCAGCGAGATGAGGTGCGAGTCATCGTGAGTGAACCGGACGCTGGTCACGTGGCTGCCATGGCCACCGTACACGAGGCTCGGTGCCTGGGTTGAGGGGAAGGTGGAGTTGCGGAGACTGCGGAGCCCCGGCCCAGCTGCCCCCACCCCCGCCCAGGTCCCCGGAGGCCTCACCTTGGCGCGAGCGCACGGGTACTGGAAGAGGTGCACTTTGCAGAAGTCGTCGGCCACAGCCACCACACGCTCGTTGTGGGAGCGGCACAGGGAGTTGATGTCGGTGCCATCCGAGCCGTCTGGCCACACGCCTAACACAGCGGCTGGTCTCAGCCCGGCCTCCTTCCCGCCTCCACCCACAGCCCAAAGCTTCACCGCTTCTGGCGCTGGGGCAGCCGCGGCCTCCCACCGGCCACGTTCCAGGCAATCCTTCCCAGGGAGGGCCGAGGGCCGGAGGGGCCTTCCTGGGCTGGATCTGCCGGTTTCCTGACGCCAAGCATTCCGAGCCCAGGGCAGGCTCCACCTTGTCCCTTCATCCCTCCCGCAGGGCTCCACACCCCTGGACCCCTGCTCACCATAGACGTGGAAGCCCAGCACGCACGTGTAGGTGGCCCACTCTCGGTCTCGGCTGTCATAGCGATTCCTCAGCAGCTTGCAGCCTCCAGCCACGTCCCCTGGGGAAAGGGAGCCCACCCAGCTCAGCCTTCTCCAGGCCTGGAGCGGGGAAGATGCTGGGAATGCGGCCTGCAGCCTCCAGCCACATCCCCCAGGGAGAGGTGGCCCTCTCAGCTCAGCCCTCACCCTGCCCTCGGTGAAGAAGGTAGCGGGAGGCCAGGCTGGCAAGGCTGACTTGAAGCCGTGGCGGGTGATCTGCTCACCACAGTGGCCCTCAGCCCACAGCACAACCCAGCCCCATGAGTTCTCCCTGGAGTTCTCCTAAGAGCTTCTCATGGGTTCCTTCTCCCTAGACAAGGCGACCCCTCCACACCTGCCCTGAGAAACTTTTCCAAAACAGTCTTTTCTTAGTGTATTTTCAAGTCCCTCAAATCCGTGTGGGAATAAGACATGGTGCAACACTGTGTGCAGTTTTTTTCCAAGTCACGGAAAAATCGGAGAAATTTCTCCGATGTGTTTAAGTGCGACTCCAACCCCTCTCCAGGTGCCCACCTGACAGCCCCTCCTCCTGGAGCTCCCCACATGTTCTCCTTCATCCCCTCCCCCCAGAACCTCCACACACACAGACAGAACCCACCCCAACCACCCTTTCCCCACGCCCGCCCTATTGCCACTCACAGTAAAGGATCTCATAGTCCCCAGAATTGGACATGATGAAGTTCCCATCCTTGGACCAGTCAAGGTGAGTAATAAAGCTGGAGTGACCCTGGGAGCAAGGGTCAAGAGACTAAAAATGGAGCCCCCATTTCCCATCCCTCAAACCCCCTTCGTGCACTGGACCCTTTGAGGGGTGTACCTGTTATGGCAATGCCCCACCCTTCACCCCAGCTTTCTTACCACACAGCGGCCAAAGCGGCTGGACTTGGCACCATCGCTGGAAACGCTATAGATGTAGATCATGTTGTCATGGGAACCAATGGCCAGGTACATCCCATCTACAAAGACAGTCACTCAGAGAAGGAAGGGCCAGGGACAGGTCTGGGTCCAGGGTGGGGGTGGCTCCCACCTGGGCTGTACCGAACCACTGAGAGCTGTTCGTTGCCATCAGTGACGTCAGACACGATTTCTCTGGTCTCTGTATCCAAAACCAGCCACCTGGAACGAGGGGTCGGAAAGCTAGTGTGCATATACCTGTCCTGGGCAGCACAGTGACAAGCTGGAGAGACTGAATATCCACAGAAAAGCTGTGAGGTAGACAGAAAAGTCCCCACTGCAGTCTTATGCTGGGAAATGGGAAGGGGCCGCGGGCCGATAAAAGCTGAGGGGCTTCTGATGCCATCTGAGAAAGCAATACGGACGGGACTGGACTACAAGGGCCTTCTGGCGTCTGTAAACCTGTCACTTTTCTGTGTCAGCCTCCTCTATGCCCCGCCCATCTCCTCTGCTTCTCTATCCTGAGCTGCCACCTCCTCCACTCCCAGGCGTGGCAGGGAAAGCGGTTGGCGGAGGGTATGATGGCACTTGCCACAGGGCAGCAGAGGAAGCCTGGGCTGCAGGGAGAAGCCCTGAGGAACAGGAAGGCGCCATTGGGGCTCCTGAGCAGGCAGTAATCATGCTCCTCCACACACGCACCCCCCATTACCAGGAACCCTTTCCCTCCTGCTTTCCCCCGCCTCCCTCTCACCTCCCTGTGTTCAGTCCTACAGCCACAACTGCCCCACTGGGGTGGAAGTCAGCACAGAGACCAGTCTCCTGGGAGGGGAGAGAAGGTGAATTCAAGAAAATGCCTTTCTAGTGAGCAAGCCAAGGCAGCCACCTTGTCATCTTGGTAATGTCAAAGCCACCTCCTCCCAAGGGGGAGACAGGAAGAGGGACAGTAGACCGGGGGCGCAGGCACGGTGTCTCTAGAGCCTAAACAGGAGGTGATATTCAAAATATTTAACAGCCAGAGCTGAGGCTCCCAGCTGGGTTGGAGATTAACCATCAGTTGCTAGATCAGGGGGGCGGGGGACACTGGAGGCAACAGCACAGAATGAGCATTTTAGTAGCCATACCAGTACAGACCGGCTGCCTCTGGGGAGCAGAAGGAAAGGGGATATTGGGGAAGTAGTGGTGGCCACAGGAGCCATACAGGTGTGGCCCTGGGGATCCAGGGACACAGGGCTCTACCTTGAGGTCGATGCTCCAGGCCAGCGCATGGCTCTCACCATCCCACAGGCAGAGCTGCCTGTCATGGCCGCAGGTGAGGAAGCGGTTCTGGAAGGGATGTGTGCACAGCCCCCAGAGCTCGTCCGTGTGGCCCTGCAGCAGAGCATGCACTGTCACCTCTGCCCCTCCCCGACAGCCCTTCCCTCTCTCCTGCCCAGAGCCCTCGGCCCCCAACCTGGATCACAGGGGAGAAGCCCTGGGCCAGATCGCCTCTCAGCAATGCGTTCTTCGTGGTTCCCACTAGCAGCTCAGAGCCCGGCCCCTCAGCAATGGCCCGCACAGCCCCAAAGTGTTCAGGAATCTGCGGGGTGGTGGCAGAAAGTCAGGGGCCTGTCCTGACTGGTGTGACTCAGGGGGTTGGGCGTCATCCCGCAAAGTAAAAAGTCATCAGTTCGATTGACAGGACACACGCCTGGGTTGCAGGCCAGGTCCCCAAGCTGGGGGCATGCGACAGGCAACCACACACTGATGTTTCTCTCCCTCTCTTTCTCCCCCCCTCCCCTCTCTCTAAAAGGAAATAAATAAAAATTTTTTAAAGAAAGAAAGTTAGGGCCCCACCGGCCATTCCTCTTCCACCTCCCTTCCTCAACCCCCGCCCCGCCCTCACCTCAGCCTCCTGGAGGGCCACCAAACTGGGCCCCCACTGCACCAGCCGGCGGTCTCGCCCGCCACCGCTCAGCACAGTCCCATCTCGCCGGAGACACAGGGCAAAGATGGAACCTTCATGAGCATGGGCCTGGGCCACAATCCCATAGGTCTCTGTTGGCAAAGTCCTGCATAGGTCAGGCTCTTGGGGTGCAGGAAAGTGGGGAACTGGAGCAGTCTAGGCAGTCCCAACGAACAGCTCGCAGCATTGAGTGCCTACTGATTACCATTTCTGATCCCTGGCTATTATTCTCCCCAGTTTACAGACTGGACAACTGAGACTCAGAGAAGTGAGGTAACTTCCTAAAGGCCAATTAGTGGCAACACTGGGATTTGAACCCAGGATCTGGCAGACCCCAAAGCCCCAGCCTTTTACTCTCTGCCATGCCCTTTCCCCCTTTTAGATGGGCCCACAGAGAACTACCAACTCCCATGGACGCTCTAGGGTACCAGACTTCCCAGACGCCACCCCCAGCCACATACCTTTGGCCCCGCCCCTGCCTGGGGTCTTGGAATCTGAGAGGCTCCGCCCCCAGGTGAGAATGTTCCCCTCTGAGTCCCCAGTGAGAATGTCCCCATCCGGGAGGAACACAAAGCAAGGGATAAACTTGGGTTTCTTGTATTTCTAGGGGAGAGATGAGGTCAAAAGATAGGGCAAAGACAAACAGTCACGAGACAGTTGGGAGCTGAGTAGCGTTAGGGTCTGTAGTCCTCAAACCAGTACTTCTGTCTCCACTCTGCCCTCCCTCCACCACCCTGCACCCAGTCACACTCACCCCAAAGACACCCTGTTTCCGGGTGAGGGTCCCATTCCCGGGAACCCCTACTCCACCACTCCAGTTCCAGAAGTGGACATGAGATTTCCCGCTGGTGACAATGCAGCTGCTGTCACGAGGGCTGAAGCCGACAGCCAGCACTGAGTCATTTGTGCTCTGAAGGGAAGACACTAGATTCAGCCACTCCAAGCCCTGAGTACCCTCACTCCACTTGACTCTCTTCATTTGCATCCTGACGGCTGGTCTGCAGAAGTCTGGAAACCCCAGGGTACCCTTCCTTCCAGACCCTGGTCCCCTAAGAGCACTACTCCTAGTCACTCGTGATTGGTCACCCAATTGCCTAACAACATCTCCTGTCAGGTCAGAACTTCTATAGTCCCCATTTCACAGCCTCAGAGAGACCCAGGCAACCCCGCCAGAAAGGAAGTGAATGTATGGGTAAGTCTGGACTCCCTGCACCCCGCTACTCCCACCTCCCACCCCTCAGTGCCCTGCAGGCCACCTGGACTCCTCACCTTGATCTCAGCCAGCTTTGTGCCCCGACTGCAGTCCCACACAGACAGCATGTGCTCATTGGAATCATCCACCACACAAAGAAAAGCACCCTGGTCCTGAGGACAGGGACACATTGGAAGGGCTGCATGAGGACTAAAGGCCTGGGAGTTCACGGTCACTAAGCAAGGGACACCATCACAGGTTGGGAGGGGAGAGGTGGGCACGTGTCCCCTTCTCAGGAGAACCGGCTGCGAGGGGTTCAGGAGGGTCAGACTGAGGCTTCCTAGTGAAGTGCAAGAAACGGGTTCCCAGACAGGAAAGACGGGGGTCTCGAGGTTGTGGGGCCAGCTCACCACCACTGAGAAGGCCAGGGCCCCCACGCCCCGCTCAAAGGCCCCCAGTCCAATCTCCTGCAGCTTCAGCAGCGTCTCGGAGTCCCAGACATGAACCACAGGCTGCAAGGGCTGGCGCAAGAGAAGTGGTCAGCGGGGTGAAGGAAGCTGGTCTCGAATGTCGCCCTGTCTGCCTGCCTTTGGTTTTGCCCTTACCTTCCCATCCTTATCCACTCCAGCTGTCTGTCCTGAGGCTACACGAACACCATCAGGGTGAACGGCCAGGCTAAGTGGGCAAGAAGGCACTCTGAGGAAGGGGCTGGGTCTCTCCAGACCACCCAGCACACCTCTGTGCTTGCCGAGCAGCCAGGCTACTCCTCTTCCTCCTGCTCCTCCCCAGCCGCCCGACACCCTTCCCTGCCAAGCCCATGGACCCCATGCCTAGAACTACCCATTCCCAGGCTCCAGGACCCTCACCATCGAACGCAGTCCGTGTGCCCCCGGTAATGTCTCTGGCCGCCACCTCCGGGACCCCCTGGGCCTCCCCCAGGCCGGTACAGCACCACCACACAGGCGATAAAGTAGACCACCTCCCCAGAACGCAGCACAAACAGATTAGAGCGGGAGTCACGGCCCCTGTACCCATAGCTGGAGCGGGGATCGCGGTCAAGGAAAGGTCAGATGACGGGCAGGATGAGCAAGAGGGGAAGACAGGGCTTCTGGCCCGCAAAGCCATTGGCCGAGGACAGCAAGGGCGGATTCAGAGTTCCCTGTCCCTGCAGACCCAGGAAGAAACCATAGAGAAGGCAGGGGCATCCCAAGATGGGAAAAATGGTTCCCATGGGCCTTGAGGGGCAGGATACACCCAGTCAAGGCTGAGGGTCTCCGGGGGTGGGCCGCTGGGCAGCTCCTCAAGGCTGCGGATGCCAGATGGGATGTACATGGTAATTGGGCGGCCACGAAGGAACATCTTCACTGAGATGCCTTCTACAGAAAAAAGGGGGGCGGGCGTCAACCACCACCCTGCAGCCTCCCTCCGGGAAAGCCAGAGCAGAACTCTACCCACCAGACCTCACAGGTACCCCCAAGGTCAATCCTGAGGCGCTAGCCCCAATCCTAACTCTTTCCTCCTAATTCGTCCAGATGCTTCTGTCCTTACCCAAATTGTAATTGCTTCTCCGAGATCCAGGACCCCCAGGGCTGGAGAGGGGGTCTTTCCCCCCACGGCTATTGAGAAGAGAAAAAAGCATAGGGATCAGGGTCAGGTCCCAAGATCTGAATGTGCAGGGACAGAACACAAGAAGGGATGCTACCCCAGAGACCGCAGTCACCTCTGCAGGCTTTAGTTTGCATCCATTTAGTTTAGGGCCCTAGGGCAGAGGGGGACTTTCAGCTCCATTTAAGAAATGAGAAGACTGACGCTACAGGGGCAGAGCGCACAGCACAAGGCACAAAGCTTGTACGAGGCAGTGCGTACAAGGGAGGAGCCCTTTCCTCCAGACTACCAGGCCTCTGGCTCCGAACCTTTCCATTTCTCCATCTACAAAATGGGACAAAAGTGACCCCGGAAGGCACTCAGGCCCTGCCTTTCAGAAATCTAAGACGTAAACAAGAAAGTCCTTCTCTCTCCAGAGGAAAGTGAGCATTCCGGCAATCACTGTCATCAGACAATAATAAGGTGGTAATATCTCCCCAGAGAATAAAGGAGAGACCAAGGATAGGGCTAGAGTGAACCCTTAGATGTCCCGGGGCCTTCACGCACTCTGAGACAACTATGCTCAGCCATTAGGACTTCCCTTTGCTCTCTAAAAGTAAAATCTGGTAAATTGGGGGAGGAGAGGGTGACTGAAACTCTGAGAAAGGTTATTGATGGAAATCATGGAAGCTTTTGGAAAAGCCCCTTAGAATCTCTGGAGGTGCATTGTGATACGTTGGAAAGGGCAGGGGAATTATAGCCAGGAATTGTTGAGTTCAAATCCTGCCTCTAGCTGTGTGACCCCGGGCAAATGACTTACCCTCTCTGAGCCTGCTTCCTCACCTGGACAATGAACAGCATGAGACCACCAACCCCCCAAGGATGTCGTGGGACTGAGTGAGATGGAGGAGGTCGAGGATTTAGCACAGTGCCCAGTACACAGCAGGCGCCCCAGGAGTGCTTGTTCCTTTCTTCCTGTTGGGCAATGAGGTCCCCCACCCCACCAAGGGAAGCAAGTGAGGGATGAGGAAAGTCGAGAGCCTGAGCCTGGGGTGGGGCAGGTTGGGGGAGCCTCGCCCACCTCTCTGTGCTCCCTGACCGCAATAACAGGTTGGCCGAGGAAGCTGCCTTCCGGGAGAGTTTCTGTCGAGGCCGCTCGGAGGGGGATGAGGAGGAATTTCTCCGCGTCCTGGCAGGAGCATAGTGAGCAAGTGAAGGTCGCTGCTTCTGGTCGTGCTCCCCAGCCTCCCCACCCCTCCCAGCGGCCGCACAGGACACTCACGAGTCAGAGCGCTGTGGCGGCTGTACGAGCCTGAGAACACCCGCGGAGCCAGTGCCCCCAGGGGAGCCCGTGCCACTGCTGCTGCTGCCCCCTCCTTCCGACTGGGTCCCACTAGGCTCTTCACTGCCCCCCTGAGGGGCTGGGGGCCCATTGCTCAGGCCAGGGGTTCCAGGGGATGGCTCCATCTCCAACTGGGTCTCCGTCTGGGTGCCTCGGCTCACCAAGGAGGGGCTGCATGAGGGTGGCAGTCCTGGTGGGGTCGCGGGGCTGCTGAGGAGACACGGAATCAACCTGATGTCCTTTGAGGCTCCGAGAAGGAGGAGGAAGAGGGTGTGAGGACTTGCAAACCTGTCCCTTGTAGGAGCTATCCTGCCAGAGTCCTGCAGGGAGGTGGGGGGCGCCTGCAGCCGCAGCAGGCGAAGGGCTTCTGCCAGGGCCGCCTTTACCAGCTCCATCTCCTTCTCCTGCACCTGAAGCCGCTGGCTCAGGGACTGCAGGGCCTCCTGAGCAGGGCCCTCGCCTGGGAAAGGGGCAAGAAGCACCCAGAATGTACCACCACCTGGGGAAAGGGTTGAGGCGATTCTGCCTGCCCCCAACTTTGCAGTCCAATAGGACTGCCCCCTTCAAGCAGCCCCGGGCTTAGAGGCTTGCTCAGAGGAGAGGAGACGGGTGGTAGAGGATCAAGGGCCTCCTTCTGGCAGGGCAGGCAAAGAAGCTGGCAAAGCTCCCTTCCTGCTGCCGTCCCAGCCTCTGCAAAGACAGGGTGTACCATGGAGTACCGGGGGGAAATATGGAGTACTGCCGAGGAACGTGGGAACCACAGCTGGAGTCGCAGTACTGGTGAGGGACGACAGGGCCCACCCCAGAGCAAGCTCAGGTCTCAAGGGAAAGCGGAGAAACTGAGCGGGCAGAACGGCGACAGAACGGGGAACACAACAGTACAGTCATTCTGAGGACTCAGAGGACCAGGAAATCTAGAATGACAGAAAAGGGCACCAGTGGAGAAAGAGCCATAGCGAAGGTTCACGGGTAACTGCGGGGGCCAGAAGTAAGAAGACCCGAAATACCAGCAGAAGAGGCCCGAGGTAACATAAGAGACAGGGGAACATCGAGGTGCCCAAAGTAACATGGGGTGGGGGGTGGGGGTAGGACGAGGTTGGGTAAGTCCGAAATGACAGTAGCAGGACCCGAGTAACTAGGGAGAGCGACCTGAGGAACAGTGGAGGATGCTCAGAGCCCGTGGGTCCGTGGAGCACGCGGGGACGCCACTAGACGGCCGTCGGGCACTAGCAGCGCCTGACCGACCGGCCGGGTGCTCCGGGAAGGGGCACGCCGCCCGCCCCGCCCCGTACTCACCGGGCCCCCCGGCCCCGTCCATCCGGCCCCCCCCGCGGCTTGCTCCGAGCGGCGGCGGCGGAGGAGGTGTCTAAGCCGCGGGGACCATGGCCAGGGAGAGGGGAAGGGGAAGCACCCCAGGGCACGCGCGCAAAGGTGCCGTGCCACCCCCCGGGGGCGCTGTCGGGCTCGGGGAAAGGTCCTGGAGGGGGCGGGAGACGCAGTCTCCGGGGCCCGCCGGGGCCTCGGACTCTCCCGGGGCCGCTCTCGGCTCCCGGGGGTGGGGTGGCGGGGCCGTCCCGGGCCCCAGCGCCGCAGCACAAACAGGCGCCGGACGCGAAGCCGCCAGGAAGCGCGGGAGGGGGGGCGGGACAAGGGGGGGCCGGGCAGCCTCGTAACCCCTCCCTGTCCGGGCCCCGCGGTTCAGCACGGGGCGGGGCCAACCCGCTGACCCCGTGGCCCTAGTCCGGCCTCCGCCCTACGGGCCCTTCCGGAATCTTCGCCCCCGGACTCCCTCGGGACGCGGGAGGGAGCGAGGTCCCTGAGGTCTCCGCCCCCGAGCTCCTAAGCCCCTCGGGGCAGAGCCGACCAGCCCCTCCCCTCTTCCGGGAGGGGCCCGGGGGCGGGGCTTTCCCTAAGGGGCAAGGCCAAGGCATCCGAATTGGGGCAGGCAGGGGAAAGAGCTTTGGGTTATTAAGCTGGGGTGGGAGGAGGATTCCCAGGGTATTGGGGTCAGCGTGGCATTAGCCCAGCTCAAGCCGTCCTGGGCTGACTCAGCGTCCTGCCCCGGCCAACCCGTCCCTGACAACTCTGCTCTTCCCTGGGAAGAGATGGGAGATGGCTCCCGTGCTGCCCCTGGCGCTGCCCCTCCAGCCCCGAATCCGTCTGGCGCAAGGGCTCTGGCTCCTTTCCTGGCTACTGGCGCTGGCTGGTGGCCTCACTGTCCTGTGTAGCGGGCACCTCCTGGTCCAGCTGTGGCGCTTTCGCACTTTCTTGGCTCCCTCCTGCCCGTTCACTGCCCTGCCCCAGGTTGCCCTGGCAGCTGGTGCAGTGGCTCTGGCCACCGGATTGGTGGGGGCAGGAGCCAGCAGGGCCGGTCTGGACGCAGCTCAATACCCTCCCTGGCGAAGGGTCCTGGGCCCACTGCTGGTGGCTGCTACTGCTGGAGGTGGAGGGCTCCTGGCCCTCGCCCTGGCACTAGCCCTGGCTTTACCCGGGAGTCTGGCCACAGGGCTGGAGGAAGGCCTGGGGACTGCCATGGCTCACTACAAGGACACAGAGGTGCCAGGATACTGTCATGCCAAACGGCTGATGGATGAGCTGCAGCTGAGGCAGCACTGCTGTGGGCGCCATGGGTACAAGGATTGGTTTGGGGTCCAGTGGGTCAGCAGCCGATACCTGGATCCCAATGACCGGGACGTAATTGAGTGAGTGCCTTGCTTCTGTCCTCTCCCTCTTCCCCCTCCTCCTCTGTCCGTTAAAACCCCACCTCACCGAGACAGGCAATAAATAGTCTAGTGATTGAGAGGATGGGCTCCACGGCTCAGCCATTTCTCAGCTATGTGACCCAGGGCATGTTACCAAACTCCTCTGGGCCCTTTCCTCATCCGTAGAATGGAGATAATAATAGCACCTATCTTAGAGAACTGCTGCGAAGACAAATGAATTATGCATGCCTGGCACATAGTAAAGCAGCCGGTAAATGTCTTACTCTCATTTCTCCCTTCTCCACTCCTGTGCCCCAAAGCTTCTCCCCAGGCCTCTATCTCCAGACACCCTAACACGCTGCCCCTCCCTTTGCAGCCGGATCCAGAGCAATGTGGAGGGCCTGTATCTGATTGATGGAGTCCCTTTTTCCTGCTGCAACCCCCACTCGCCCAGGCCTTGCCTGCAAACCCGGCTCTCAGACCCCCACGCCCACCCCCTCTTCGATCCTCCTCAGCCCAACTCAAACCTCTGGGCCCAAGGATGCCACGGGGCGCTGCTGGGGCACCTGCAGGGGTTGGCGAGCACACTGGGCAGCCTGCTGGCTGTCACCTTCCTGCTGCAGGTGAGTCAGCAAAGTGTCTGAGGCCTCCCTCCATCTGGGCCTCCTCGCTGCCTCTAACTCTGGGGCCCCAGAAGTGCTGACCCTGACTGACTGCTTTCCCCTTCTTTCCCCAGACTGTGGTGCTCCTGGGCCTGCGGTACCTGCAGACAGCGCTGGAGGGGCTTGGAGGAGTCATCGACGGGGAAGGAGAGACCCAGGGCTATCTCTTTCCTGGTGGGCTGAGAGACATGCTGAGGACAGCATGGCCGCAGGGAGTGCTCGGGCCGGCACCTGAGGAGGCCCCTCCCGAAGAGGCACCTGCTAAGGAGGACCTACCTGAGGCCTAGTGACCCGGGGCTTGGGGCGGTGATGGGGGGAGATCGGGGAAGGGGCGGACCAGACGGAAACCTCGCAACTCTTTTACCAAGGCCCCAGGTGGGGCAGGGGGTGCTCCCTGGGATTAGAGGGGTTAAGGATAATCAGTGAGCTGCAATGGGTAGGAGAAAAAACAAGGGGTCCTAGGGCCTAGCCCCTGTGGCCAGAACCACCCAGAAACACAAAACAGGGTGGCGACGGGAAAGTGACACGGGAAGGACTGGAGACTGCCTCTGGTGCAGACTCAATAAAGCTTTTGGACTGGAGCCACTGACTCTCTCTTCAAGGGCGGGGGCCCTGAGAGAAGTGATTTCTGCCTGAGACAGAAGCCAGGACACCAAGGTTTGGACCCCGGTAAGAATCAGAATGCAAGAACCAGACTTGCGAAATGAGAAAAAAATCAGAGGCCCCTCCAGGTTGAGATTTTTTTATTCTGGAGGTAGGAGGGGGTTAGCATGCTCAGGTGGGGAGGGTCCAGCCCAGCGCCTCCAGCCCCCCAGTGCATGCCCAGCCCCAATAAGTTACCCAGTTACTCAGCTGCCCTCCCTCCTGAGTCTGTCTGTCCTTTTGCTCCGCCCCAGACAGGGCTGACTGGGCTCAATACAAGGGCTGCTTGTCCCCAGCTTGTGGGCAGTGCCACATGGCAGGGTGAGGGAGGGGGAAAGCAGCTGGGCCACGCCCTATGGCTGCAATGGCAGAGGGACAGGGCCACCCTGGCTCTGAGGGGTCAGGACTTGGAAAACCACACCCTGGCAGGCCAGGGGCCCAGTCCCACAGGTCTGTGCCTGATGAGGTGTAGTCGGGGTGGGGCATCCATCACACCTCCACGGCTGGGTCTGAACCGCGGCCCTGCCGCTGTAGCTGCTCCTCCTGCTTCATCTTGGGCTTCTCTGTGCGCGTGTGCCACACCAGAACCTGTCCCGGGAGGGCTTCCATGAGAGCCAGGCCCAGCCAGAGCCAGGCCTCGGGGCCCTCAGTGTCAGCGCATTCTCCAACCCCTCTACACATGCAGTGTTGGCTGCAAAGTGTAAAGGGCAGGCTGGAGGGCAGCCTCCGGCCTCCAAAATGGGGCCTTAACCCCTCAACCTCTCTGTGCCACAGAGGTGCCCAGGACTCTGGGAGACAGAGTGACGGGACACCACTTTTTTGGTCTGGCTCCCAGCTTCCCCTTTAGTAGAGTAAGCAAGGCTGTAGCTGAGTTCTGGAGGGTCCTTCCTGGCTCCAACACCTGTCCTTTGATGCTCCTCCCCCGGGCCTCCCTCCACTTCTCCCATCTCCTGCACACCCCAGGGCTCCGTGACCCACCTCCGTCCCCTTACCCGAGTGCAGTTGGCAGCCCTTGGCTCTAGGTCCTTGGGATCCACGAGGTGGCTCAGGAGACTGCTCTCCAGGTGGCCCCGGGGAGCAGTTGCATCAAACTGGGCATTGGGCTTAGCCAACAGCAAGGGCAGGGCGACCGCAAATCCCGCCATATCCAGCGGGAAGGGCCGGTTGGGCTCCCACGCTGTGTGGAAGCCCACAACCCGGCCATCCTGTACCCGAGGGCCCTCGAATCGCAGGCCGCCCACCAGCCCCACAGGCCACACTGAGACACCACGGGTCCAGCGCATCTAACAGAGGTCAGGAGACAAGAGAAAGAGAGTGGCGGTGGTCCAGGGGAAGAGGAGCAGCAGGAGGGACCACTTGGGTCACTCTCCTCCATGTTCCCCCCTCCTCACCCAACAGCATAGAGCGACAATGGTAACCAAGGCAACAGAGGACACTGGGCTCCCCAGGCTCTTTCCCAGCCCCATCCCAGAGCTCACCTCCTCAAAGAGTTCCCGGCTGTAGGTGTTGTCATCATCAGCAAAGTACACAACTCCCCGGGTCCCTGGGGCGGGTGGGTCCTTCTCTCCCCCCACAGCGCCCCTTCCACTCCGGAGCCAGTCCAGAGCCCTGTTCCGCTGCTCTACGCCACGGGGACGAACCCAGCCCGGCTCGCCCTCCCGGAGCCGCTGGGCCTTGGGCGTGAGGACCGCCAGGTGCGTGAAGAGGAGGCCAGAGGCAGCCAGCAACCCGGAGACCAATGGGGTAGGGCCCTCAGCGTCCTCCACCAGCAGCCAATGCAACCGGGGCACCAGACTCAGGGTCTGGGACAGCCGCACCAGCTCTGCCTTCTGCACTAGCCTGCGGGGGGGAAGATGCAGCAGGAGGGAAAGGGGTGGACACCATCTGCCCACTCCAGCCAGCAGACATAGCTTCTTCTGAGCCACCTCTAGCATACCCGCAGCCTTTCCCCAGCCAGTACCCACTCCCGTCCTCGCCTGCCCTTCACACCGACGTGCGCCTGCCCTGGTCTTCTAACCATGTCTGTCACCCACCTCAACCCGAACCCCGTGGGAGAATATGAGTGAAGGGTACGGACTTTGGAATTAGATCTGGGTTTGAATGCTAGGTTTCTAATCAGGTGAGGCATCTGGGGAAAATGGCTCACTCTTCCCCAGGTCTCAGTTTCTTTGGCTGCAAAATGGGAATAACAGTATTGTACAATGATGTTGTTTACAAGGTTAAATAACAATTTTCTAAAACACTGGTAGGACCAGGTTCTTTTCCTTCTGTGCTTGGGCTTCCAGGTAGAGGAGTTTAAAGGAGTCCCTTGACTTATTCCTCTCCAGGGGAGAAAGATTTGAGTTTAGACAAAGTACTGGGAAGAATGCCCCAGTCTGTTATCTTTCAGACTGGCCCGCCTGCCCCAGGTTCGGTGGGGTGTGTGTGGAGGAGGAGAGGGTCTGGAGTGGCCTGTGCCTAGACGGCTCAGCCACCTGATTCCAGGGGGCAATTAGCAGGCCCTTTGGCTGCAGATCCAAAACCACAGTTCTCCTCCTTGGTTTTTATATGAGTAATAAGGGTACATTTTAATTA